CAATTAATTCAGAGCATGCTAAATTCAGCTAGAATAACAGTCTAATTTACTTTTCAAGCAGAAACTTATTATGATAAGAAAAAAAAAAAGAAGTGGGAAGAGAGGGGATTAATTGATAGCCTTTCATGCCTCCCTTACCATTATAAATTGATTTCTAGAAAAAAGCCCATGCAAAAAGCATAAGAGAACAATAATGTCATATGAGTTTACATTGCAATAAAATCCAATAATGAATGCAATAATTCATCTCAAGACTCACCTTCATTGCCCGGCGCTCTTTCACAAAAGAAGGTTGTATCTTGTCCTTCAAGTAATCAATCTTTTGAGCAAAATAGAATTCAGGAGCTCGAGGCTCAATATTGTGTTTCTTGCAAAAGGGCACCCATTTCCTTGCAAACTCCGCAGTTTCAGAAAGTGCTTCAAAGGTCAACATGGCTGAACCATCATCTGAAACATAGCAAGCTACTTTGTCTACAGGGTAATCCACAGCAAGTATGGACAAAACAGTGTTTGCTGTTATAAGAGGAGGCTCTTTGAGGGGATCCACTGTACTAACAAAGATATCCACAGGAGCTAGCTGTGATGGTTCCCCTTCCCGATCATATCTAAAACAGACAAAACAACGACTATTAGTGGGATTCAAAGAAACGGCTTCTTTCCAACTCAACCATCCATTATTGAAACAAAATAGTTAAACTGACCTCAGTGCCAGTCTGTCCAAGTAGGTCTCCCGGTTGATAGGATACCATTTTGGAAATTGATCCAGAAGCCAAGACAGAGCAAACCAAATTTCACAAATAACAGATATTAACCACAATGGATATGCATCCTTTACTGGGTGAGTTATTCGGTACTGTAAGAAGAAGCCCAAAATTATAAGCCGAAGAACAATCACAACTCGATAAGGAGTCAATTGAGCTGAAGGAATAGGCACCACGCGACTCAAAGGCTGGCGAGCATCATCAGCCCTGTGACACAAGAACCATCATACTTGAAGGAAAAAGCACACACAAAAATCCATAGATAAGAGCATTCTGAATGGAAATTGAATTAACTTTAAACTCAACCAAAAAGAAAGAATGGCAATCATTGAAGCTAATAATAACAGTGATCAACTTACATTTGCAGCTCCTCCCCGTTGGAACCAGTTCCCTCTATGTCTCCCCCTTTTCCTTCACTATATCTATTTGTCATCTGCATCATATTTTTCTCCTGTTTGAGTTTCCAACTTTCTACCCTTTCCTTCCAATCAACATTTCCAAGGCCATACGAATTTAAATCCTTTGAGGGGTCCACAATTCTCACTGGAACTGTAAAAACCAAAGACACAATTAACTGATAACTCATAATGGCCATATAAAATAAGGATGAAGAAGCTTTTTTCTACAATTTCTACTCCAATTAAATAAATAACACCTTGTCACAGGATTACCTGGCTGCCTTGGATCAGTATAAGGAGATGAGTTAACATTCTTCTCAGAGGGGCCCAGAGGACCTGACGTTGTTCGAACAGATTGGGTGTCAGGTGTGGCAATTTCCCCAGATACCTAAAATTAACAGACACATCAGAAAGCATGAAGGATCAATTAATTCAGAGCATGCTAAATTCAGCTAGAATAACAGTCTAATTTACTTTTCAAGCAGAAACTTATTATGATAAGAAAAAAAAAGAAGAAGTTATTGTGCATGGCTAAATACTAATTTCTAACTCACACAATGCCATTCAGAGAATAAAATATCAGTTTCTTCAATTTCCATACATAGGTAGAAATGAAAGGATATTCAAATTGCAAAATGTTAAGGAAACATCAAACTTCCTTGGGATCTACCACAATTTACACTAATGAATTGAATTAACAGGTATTTGGAGATAAAAAGGGGCAAATATGGTAGGGCTCCACCCAATCTTGTCTTGTAACTACATAAATATCAAAAGGAAATTGAAATCATACAATGCACCTACCACATGACCGTTGGTAAGAAGAGGAATTGGTTGCTGTGATTCATGTCTGGCAGATGAAGAAAGATCTACATCATCACCCTGCCACTGCCTTCTTGCATTGCTATTTCCTTGCGCATAATTGAATTCATTCTCTAAATCATCAATATCATCTTCATCATCATCACCCTCAACTCGAGGACTCCCTGAAATGTGCAGACACTGTCAGTTTTGTTCATATGATAACAAACAAAGCCAAATCATGGAACAGGATTCTAAACAAAAGGAAAACATAAGAAACAAGCTAACCTTTATGCCTTTTATATCTAGTCTTGCACTGGGGACAACATTGAGTTCCATCTTTCCGTTCATACTCATAACAAGGCCTGCAAACTGGAAAGCCACACTCATTACAAGCGACAAAGACATCACCAGTGGCTGTAAGACCAACATTATCCCCACAGATCTGACATGCTTGGCCATTCGAATGCTTCAGAGGTTTGGGCTGCATTATGGACACGCATTGAATCACGTTAGATTTCCTCAAATTGATGAACAATTCACTATTTAAGGAAACCAAAAAAACCCAGATCGAAGCAAACAACAAATTTCAACCAAAAAAACAAATATGTGCATAAATCAGAGCCACAGACCTTAAATCCATCCAAAACTAATTATAAAACTCAGAACTTTAACTCAAAAATAACCCAGACCCATAAATGCTGAGCTCTAGTCTGCCTGTTCTAAATGCACGAAGGCCAAAAACCTGGACTGAAATTTCAAGATCCAAGCTTGATCGCCACCCATTTCTTTGGTATTTTAGTGCACCAAATAAGACCCGACTAAACTATTAGATATAAGACATCCTCAAACATCATTTTCCACACTGACTCGAAGCTAATTAATCAAAATCAAGCAAAATAAACAACATGATCTTGAAAACAAAAGGGTTAAACCTTAGAAGCTCAAAAGTAACTTTCCATTAGTCAAACTCAGATCCAACCAAAGTAGATGAAAAAATAAATAGATAAATAATAATAATAATAATAAATAACAGAAATAAAATTCATTCTGAGCCTTGAATGAAAATAGTTAAGCTAGAATACGCACCCCACTATCAGAATCGTAGCGAATCCGGACCAACTCGTTCCTCCGGTAAGAGCCAGCCACCATTCCGGCATTGGCTTCCATGTTTCCAACTCCTCAGTTTCCTGGAAATCAATGATTTTAGAGAACGAAGACGAGATCAGCGATGCTTGTAGATCAAACTATTGCAGCAGAGATGGAGTGAAGTGAGAGCTCTGAATCCTTCAA